TTTTCAAGTCCAAAAGGTTAGTCACCTTGTAATGAGATAGCCTTGCGTAGAGATTGTTCTAACTTTGGGACCAGTTTGAGGCATTTTAACATTTAGTTTCCACTTGCTGCCTGAGTCTGTTACCAACGAAACTGTAAAGGGAAGAAACCCTTTAAATTCACAAAGGGTTTGCTAACATAACATACATATGAGCTTAGAGTCATTTAAAAGAAGCAATGAATTCTAACAAGGAAGCCAAGTATTTCCCAATTCTAGAGTTTTTTTAGTAACTTTCATATTCAATTGTAAGTTTTGGGAGACAGGGAACACTACACAGAGTCAGGCACGTGGTAAGTTCACGCCGTGTGTGCTGACTGGTTGATTACAGAATCCTGAATTCATGGCTCCAGTGAGTAGAGTAGGATCATCCATCTGAAATGATGAAGGATGAGGTGAGGTCGGATCTTTCATGGGGAGTGATGTGCTGTGACAGATTCAAGCTGTAGTGTCCCTGATAGGCTGAGGTGCCCCTGAGAGGGACATGGACTAAAGATGGTGGAAGTCAGCCCCACAGATTTCTTCCACAGCTCTTTGGTGGCTGGTTATATAATTGATCATCACGGGATATGAGAATAAGCCAGTCTAAAGCTTAGCACTTCTCATTCAGGAGGTAACAAGCAGAGCAAAAGATACAGGGTTTAAAATGTGCCCCGACAGATCTGAGCAAAGGAAACCAGAACTGGATATAAGGCAGTGGATCTGATGAGTACTTCGGTAATTCAGACGTTAGTGACTTCGATTAAGATAACTAATTGTTAGACCTGCTTGGCCATTTAAAAACAACCATATGAAGTTGAATTTTTCCCATTCAAAATAAAGAATTATTTAATACAGGCCTCTGTAAAATAACACCGTTTCTTAGTTGAATTTTAATGAGTTCTATTAAATAAGTGACAAAGCCCTTTTTTACTGGCACTCAGGGACTTCTGGTATTACAGGATTAAAACACAACTGAACTCAGTACATGTGTCAAACTTACTTATGAAAAGAAATTAATTATTCCAGCAGTGATCCAACCATAAGGTGTATGATGTTTTCTGGAGGTCAAGAACCATTTTAAGAAGTTGCCAAGAGGATGCTTTTTAGGTGGCCAAGAGGAAGAGTCTGAACAGAACTCTGACCTTAAGAATGCAGTCGTTCCCAACTTACAAGCAGATCACGTTCGAAAAATGTGTGATTGTAGATGACTTTTTGGAACTCGAGCTTCATTTCTCCAGAGAGATGGCAACACAAGTAGAAGCTGTGAGCCTAGTGGCTGTCAGTAAAGGAGGTGGGCTGGAGTGCCCCAGTGAGAGAGAAGCCTGCACATCCTCAGCTCTCCAGACAGGGGCAGAGCCCTCGACGTTTCCTGAGGTACCAGGGCAGGCCACTCATGGGAAAAGAGCGCAGTTCTTTGAGTAAGATGCGAGTGGGACTCAGTTCTAGCTCTGCTGCCTTTGAGCTGTTCGTCTTTCGGCTAGTTACCTCTCTGAACCTGTTTCCTCATCTCCAACAGGAAAAATGACACCAACCTACAACACAAGTTTTCTCCCTCCCTCCCTCTGTCTCTCTTTCTCTCTCTCTTTCTTTCTCTTTCTCTTTCTTTCTTTCTTTCTTTCTTTCTCTCTCTCTCTTTCTTTCTCTCTTTCTCTCTCTTTTCTTTCTCTCCCTCTCTCTCTCTTTCTCTCTCTCTCTCTCTCTCTCTTTTTCTTTCTTTCTTTCTTTCTTTCTTCATTCAGTGCACCTCTAGCCTTAATCCTCTTCAATCAATCAGTTAACCACATCTGATAGTTTTTACCTCTTAAATCTCTCTGGAATGTTTCCATTTCCCTCCACCTCCACTGCACTGCCCTAGATGGAGCCACACCATCTCTCTGACCACAGGACCTTTTAAATGTGCCCCTATCTCTCCTACCTGGACATTTGGCTAAGGGGTATCCCTGCTGCCATTATTGTTCCCCTCTCAAGCATTCTTGACAGGGTAAGAGCTCTTCAGAGCTTTTTAAAATGCAGATCTGATCCCCTGGGTTCCAGCTTAAAATCATCCAATGGCTTCTCATTGTGCTTTGGATAAAACCCAAACTCCTTAACTTGAATTTCAAAACCCTGCGTTATGTGACCCCTGCCACCTCCTCCATCCTCATTCGTAAGGTCCTTCCCTCCAACTCCACTTGGCTGCTATGCTGACTTGTTTAGGTCCCTTCAAAGCACCATACTTGCCCCCTCCTCCGTGCCCAGCCATGAAGCAGGTGGTCCTCTTGCCTTGGAACGCTTTCCCTCTGCCCTACCCTCCTTCCCCTGGCAAACTCCTCCTAATCCTTAAGATCTGGCTTCACTGCTTCTTACCCTCTCTGTAGGGTGTAGGCCAGTCTTGACCCCATAGGTGGTTAGGATTCCAACAGCAACATGCAGTACTCCCCCTCTCAGAATACTCTGTTGTGATCACTAGTTGAGCTATGTGATTTCCCTGCAGGTTAGAAGGCCGGTGCAGTAGGGAAAGTGGTGGTAAGGAGTGCAGAGATTTCGGCCTCCACCCTGTATTTGCTGGTCAAGTTGCTTATCATCTTTATGCCTCCTCATCTATAAACTAATACTGCTTGCCTCACAGAGTTATCCTGAGAGTTAAATGAGATAATATGTGTGTGTGTATGTGTGTGTATATATATGCATATATGTGTATATATTGGGTTGGCCAAAAGGTTCATTCGGGTTTCCCTGGAAGATGTTACGGAAAACTCAAATGAACTTTTGGGCCAACCCAGTATATCAGTATAAAAGGTTTAAGTGCGTTAACTAGTCCATAGAAAATAAGTCTTCAATAAACTGAGATGCACGTGTAATGAATACTTAGTAAACGCAAGCTTTTTGTTGTCGCTTTGTTTTGTTTTTTTTTAAGCTGAGTATCGCTACGGCTGTTTTCCTGGGAGTGCACTTTCTCTTTTTCTTTATGTGCCATTGGCTTGGTAAGATTAGAGTCCCAAAAGTAAAACTGTGAGTACTGTGTTTGCTTTCCCATTTGCTCATTTCTTCCCAGTCTGCGTAGCCTGTAGGAGTGATGTAAAGACGTAAAGTGATGTAGAAAGTGGGCGAAGAAAATATTATGTTCACAAAGCCTGTTTTCCCGTCAACTCCTAGGGGATCCCATGCCTTATTAGTTGTGGATTCTGCCTCTGCCCACAGTTCTTTAGTCCTTGCCTGTTTCGGAGCCCTTCCTATTAGAGGCACTGGCGGGGCAGTGCAGTGCCAGGAGGCCCAGGCATCAGGCTCATTCAGCAAAGACAGGACCATAGAATGCAAGCAAATTAAAGCATTCTCAGTGCTTCCTACTTCAATCTGCCCCCCAAAAAACAAAAAAACAAAACATAGGTGTGTTCGTGTGTGTGCATGTGTGTGTTTTAGAGGGAGTCACCAAATACATGTCAAAGGCAACACACAAATTAGTGCAACATGAGTTCTGTGACATTTGGTAAAGGTCTTTGGAGAAGATGACAAAACAAGGAGCTTCCCAGTTCCATGGCCCCTAAGGTTTGGTGCAAACACTGTGTGTGAAAAATCACCAAACATGTACCTCACCACTGAATTTTGTGAGGGTCGACTTATTACCCCTGTTACCTGGCAGTCTCCAGGCTTTAGAAGAGTTCTTGTCACTTTGATTTTTTAGATGAGTCACTGGGTTTGTTGCCCCCAGAGGCACTTCATTATGATTCAGTGTAAAGCCCTGAAAGGACTCAGCTTCCGGGAGTTAGGGGTGGGATGAGGGCTGCAGTGGTTACGCGTTGGCATGAGGCTGAATTGACACCTTTGATGTAGCCTAAGACAGAACCCGCACCTCCCACTGCTGCTCAGAAGACGTCAGCCTTACGCAGAAAAGGCATCTGCTAAGGAATCCTGCTTCTCATTCAGCCTGCTCTGGGAGCAGCCTTAGCCATCGTTAACTAATCCAACTGCTTCCCTCCTCCCCTGCGGTGCTGGGTTTAGTGCTAAGAAGGAGTTTCGCCTCTTGTTCTTGTCAGGTTAGGCACTGAGACTGTGTCCATGTTAGAACTCATAGAAGGTAAGTTAAATGCATGATCCCTCTCCCTCACGGAAAGATGTTTATTTTGCGCCCTGGAGGACATTTGTGTCTCATTGCTAATCCTACTTCGTTGCTGTGGATGTAAAACATGTAAAAATGTTGACATTTTTACAGGCAAAATAGTGGCGATCTGATACATCTTTACAGAGTCATGTCTTTAAGTGTTTTATCAGTTCTTAGAGGTGTTGTTACTCAGAGAAAAGAATGGCTTAACGTGAGTTCTGTGGCTTTGATTCCTTTTAGGGATAATGTTTAAAAGTCTTGAGAGTCAGGTTGATTCTCGTGATGTAAACCTATTAAAAAGCAGCTTTTATTTTCGACAGCAGTACAGACTAACGGTGAGGAGTTTCTGAGTGTCTGTGCCAGTTACTTTGTCTTGCTGGAGGCAGGTCCTTCTGAGTTAGGCTGGGGGATGCATAGGGCGCAAGTGGATGTGGGAACTTCTAGAAGTGAGTTCTTAACTCTAAAAAGACAGTGATCTGTTTTCACAAGACACTGGGACTATCACTTGTGAGCTGTGCTAATATTTGCTCTCACTGGGTTGTACTGGGAAGCTAAACTAAAGAAGGAAGCATGAAGTCCATTGAAAATGTCTCAGAACCGCATGCCTAAAATCTCCGTGGGCACAGCTAAGAGCATCATTCATAAATTCATCAGGAAAGTTGTGCAAAGTACATTATTATTCTTTTTAATGTAACCTGCTGCTATATTCAACACTGGATTAGCAAAGCAGTGAGTTTCTGAAGAAGGTTTCTCCCAGAAGCTATTTTTCAGCACTATAGATAAAAAGGTATCTGGAATTTTAGCAAATGTCCCTCTTTAATTGTTTGTTGCTCTGAGAAGAAGATTTGTCGTGAGAATTCTTTAGTAAGCCACTTTTTCACTCTGTGATCCTCTGTGTTTCTAGTTAATGGAACCCCTGGGAGTCAGCTCTCTACTCCGCGCTCGGGCAAGTCTCCAAGCCCATCACCCACCAGCCCTGGAAGCCTGCGGAAGCAGAGGGTAAGGAAATGAGCACGCTCCTTGTTTAAGACCTGTCCATGTCTTGGTGCAGATGGCACAGGTGCCAGCAAATAGGCCTCTCATGATAGCGCTGCTTGTCTCTAAGGAAGAACCAGGTGAGGACAGGAGGTGACCGACCTTGGGTCATTTATTATGGCTGTGGTTTCTCTTAGCTACGACTCAGGGCTTTAAATTTCCCTGTAAACTTGTCCTGATCTTAATTCCAGGGAGAATAGACAGTTGCTGCTTCACTTTGAAATACCTCACTCTTTTTGTCTCGAGTGCACAAAGACATTAATGGCACTGGATTGTAAGCTTCCTTAGCTGAAATGAGTTTCATTAGAGACATCATCACTGGTCACCAGCCTTCCTTAAGAAAGAAAAGGAAAAGTGCCTGGATTGGAGGTGGGCAGGCCCTGGTGGGAGTTGCTTTAGGGCAAAGGATGGTGGTCCAGAGCCCCTGAGGGTTTGTGCTGCAGAGATGGTTGCATGTGACCTGTGTTTTTGTGAATGAAACCCACACTGAGCACCTTCTCTTTCATCATGACCTGCATTTATCTTTGAGCTTCTTGTGTAATAATGGAGAAGTTGATTGAGCTTGGAGACCAAAGTCAAAAAAGTTACCGGAAACAGTGTTCGTTTCTCTATGCTAAGGAAGGGGGTGGGATTAGCTTTTCTTTCAGGATGGAAGAACTACTGTTCAGAACGCCTCACAACCTCTGCGGTTTGTCTTTCCCAGTAAGACCAAGGCAAGAATCAAAGGAGTGGGACAGGGAGGAGGGGCATGGCGCAGTGGAGGCAACAGGAGGCCTTTCATTGGCCTGATTTCAAAGGCAAGGTGCAGAGGGAGGTTTCAGGACATTTTAAGAAGCTAGGGCTCTTTGGCAGCTTTTGAACTCAAAGATTGGATTCATGAATTTCATTTCTTGTACTATGTGCTTTAAAATGAGACTTTAGGGCTTCCCTGGTGGCGCAGTGGTTGAGAGTCCGCCTGCCGCTGCAGGGGACACGGGTTCGTGCCCCGGTCCGGGAAGATCCCACATGCCGCGGAGCGGCTGGGCCCGTGAGCCATGGCCGCTGAGCCTGCGCATCCGGAGCCTGTGCTCCGCAGCGAGAGAGGCCACAACAGTGAGAGGCCCGCATACCGCAAAAAAAAAAAAAAAAAAAAAAGAGAGAGAGACTTTATGTTCTATACATTTAAACTGCCTCCAAGAGGAAAGCTCCTCTTTGCAAGCCTCCTGCCGAGGTTGTGTCCACACACCCTCTGGGGGGGTGGGTGAATGAGTCAGTCCCCAGTCCCCTTTGCAGCCTGACCTGCCACGTAGCAGGTTGTACTGTCCTGCTCACTCCACTGAACCACCTGGCATCAGGTGTAGCTGGTTTTGATTATTGAATGAGGCCTGGAGCTGGGCACCAGCTCCTCCACTAAATGGCTGTGTTATCTTTGATAAGTCTGTTATCCTCTCCTGGCTTCAGTCAAAACAAAACAAAATAAAAGGCTCTTTCCAGATAGAAAGCCCAATAATGCGACTCCAGTTCCAGCTGAGTGTTTTCACTATGGTTTCTTCATGGCCACAGTCTAATCTGGCATTTTAAAGTACAGGAATCATTAGTGAACTACTAGAAGAATGGGCCAAGTTCATTTAATCTCCTAAATGTCTGTGGTTGAGTGGAGGAAGGGCTAGTGGAGTGAGTGATGCTCTTCTTATAAATGTTACCCAGTGAGGCCCCCATCTATAGAGGCAGCCATTAGAAATAGGGCAGATTGGGGACTTCCCTGGTGGTCCAGTGGTTAAGACTTTCTTTGCTTTCCAATGCAGGGGGCATGGGTTCGATCCCTAGTTGGGGAATTAAGGTCCCACATGCCATGTGGCCAAAAACCCAAAACATAAAAGAGGCAATATTGTAACAAATTCAATAAAGACTTTAAAAACAAAAAAAAGAAAAAGAAATAGGATGGATAGGGCCCTCTTACATAGAATAGTCTCTCTTTTGAGGTGTATACCTTGGAGACTCCACCTGGCATAGAAATCCCTCTTCATCCTTTGGGCTAATTAAATTAGATTCAGGATTTAGCTCATGCTTTGTTGTTGAGATTAAATTAGAATGAGTGAGACTCCCTGCTACAGATCTGAGCTTCCCTCCTGCTGGCTTATGGTGGAGACTCCATCTTGGGGATGTAAAGCGCTTGGCTCAACTCTCCCTTTGTTGGCAGAATGAGGCTAGAATTTGCTTCTTCTGCCCTCTGTATTTCCTACTTCACTATGATTTTGTCCAACTGAGGCAGAAAATTTCCATCCAGCTCCTAGCAGCTGTGTGGCCAATGGCTTATGTAATTAACACTGCCAGCGCTTGGGAAATGATTATAAGGGATGGTTCTCTTGTAGATTCTTCATTTTGTCATTTAAACTACCAGTGCAAGCTCCGTACTTGACAGGGAAAAACAATCTCGTTTGTTTTAAGGAGACAAAAGGTTTATCATCATCTGAAAACATTTATTAAACACATGTTGTGAGCAGAGCACCAGATAGTTTAGAGATGGTTCAGTTTCCAGGCTTTTGAATTGAGGCCGTAAATGAACATCCTCCATCCATGTACCATGTCAATGAGTAGAAACATTCCCAGCTGCTTTAGTGAGAGGAGCTTTCATCTTGGTGTGGAGGCAACTGCATCAAATAATCCCTCCCAGTTAAAATGAGCCTAGAATATCCCTAAAAACTGATCCTGTTTCAAATTTGGTTAATATTCTTCTCAAATGGCTATACTCCTATGCAGGAAATACTGAAATAAGTGAAAGATGGCAAGTGCTAAAAGAAGACACATCAAGGAATAAATTAACTCTTTTTATTGCAAATTGGAAAACAGTAGCTACTTCTCTTTTTCTTTCTGGGTTGCCTAGCAACATGGCCAGGGAAATGAGTGGGCTGCCTCTCCCTGCAACACACACTCACACTTCCTACCTCATTTTGAAACACAGGAATATAAGCTGCTTTTCTTTTTTAAGGAATATTGAGACATTTGACCGCTTCTTCACAAACAAGAAAATCTGTACTTTTATTTATGTTAATTTTGATGGTTTAGTCAGCTTTTTTCCTTCCCTTAATATTTTTGTTGCCTCTTTTGGTATTTAGAATAGTCCTATACAATAGGAGTCTGCATGCCAGATATTTTTCTTCTTGAAAGCGCTGATGGCAGTGTACCAAGCAACTGCCCTATTTTTCCAAAACACTGTTATTTAAATTGCTGTCTAGAAGCGTTTGGTCACAGATGCAGATCCGGGAGGATCTTTTCCATCCATGAACTTTCTGGGGTCCTATTTCTTAATACATCAGGAAGAAAAGTGTTTTATTGTGTAGGTGGAATGACGCTCCCCATGATACTCCCACATGGCTGACTTTTGTAGATTATCTGATCAGTCAGTTGATGTGAAGAGTGGGTGGTTCAAAATAGAAAAGAAGCCAGGATTCTAGACACTCTGCAGATCTGAGCTCGTTGCCTGGTGACCAGCAGAGGGATCTCTTAGCAGAAAAGGGCGGAGGGGAGAAGAGGGAAGGTGATGGGTGAGCAAGCGGTTGGGGAACCGGGATAAACACTGGGAAGGGAGCAAGGAGGTCAAGTTCGCATTCTTTCCGTCTTCCAAACGTACCATTTTGAAAAGGCAGTGTTTATTGGGTGTATGCGGGGTGCAAATGCAACCCTTGAGTTGCTGCTCTGGGGCCAGAATTTCCTGAATGCCAGCTGGGGCTCCTAATAAATTATTGCCTGAGGTAAACACCTTCCTCTTCTACCCAGAATGGGAAGGAAACGTTCAAGGAAGAATTGCCTAGATACATAGTAGCAGAGTTTGGTGTTGACAGACCTCAAGGGCCCAAGAACCCAACTGGACACAGAGGAAGGCAAAAGCTCATGAGCAGATCAAGCCAATAAGGCAGAATAAACACCCTTTTCATCTATTTAGATGCTTTCATGATCTCAGAAACCGAGGATGCCCATTCAGTATTGTTCCACTCCTAAGAGAGCGCAGGGCACCTAAGAAAGCCGAGTAAACAAATCTATACCTGCCCTTCATCTTACAGGACCTGTATCGCCCCCTCTCTTCAGATGATTTGGATTCAGTAGGAGACTCAGTGTAAAAGAGACAATGGAGCAGTGTATATGGTTTGTGGTTGGGTGAAGGTTTCACGTTTCCTAAGCAAAAGTCTAACAGCAAAATACACAAAAGAGTTTTGCATACCTTGAAATTATGAAGACTAAATCATATAGAAGGAAATATCCAGGGATTTTATATTAATCCTTGAAAGAGATTTTTTTAAATATCTCCTACGTTGATTTGACTGAGGGAGCTTGAACACAAACTGGCTCAATTGGTGAGGTTTTTGTGCCAGGCCTGGCTCTAGATGAATTTCATGTATGGGCCCGATCTTAGTTTCAGAACATGCTAATGGTGTAGCAAGACAGTCATATTTTCTGTAGATGGGGTTTTCATTTTGATCATAAGTAAACATGTAGATACAAATTTTCTGTACAATTCTTTACAGATTTTCTGGCTAAGCAGATTAAAATGCCACTAGCAGACATTTTTTCTTAAAGTTGTATTCTTCTTAAACTTTACATTGCTGATTTTAAAGTACTTTTATTGCAAAATAATCAAAATATTCAAGTAGGGTTCTTCTTCTTCCTAGACAATATTCAGAGCTACTTGTCATTTTGTGGGTTAGTCTAGGTGAGGAAAAACACCCATGTCAAAGACATATCTCATGAAGACTCTCTTGTTAAGCATAGGAACTTTCCTTATTTTTGTTGTAAAAAGTAAATTTTACTTTTTAAACTTATCTTTCATTGAAAACAGCATAAGTATAGCTTAAACATGAAGAATTTTTTCAATGGCATTGCTGTAAATTATATAATTCCTCCCTGTAACCATATATATAATTTTTCAAATATGTAAATGCTGAAGCTAGGAAGCTTTTTTTAAAAACATACAGACCTAAAAAATTGTG